ACTACTACTACTACTACTACTACTACTACTACTACTACTACTACTACTACTACTACTACTACTACTACTACTACCAATACTGAATGAGATCTTAGCTATTGCCGTGCGTGAGTTTGGCAGTCGTTGGACGGAGAGCCTCATCGCCACATCGGTCCCTCTGTCCATCCTCATCATCAGACAGTCGAAAGGCTGGAACAGACCACTGCTGCGTGGGTGTCGAAGTGCGATATGTGGACAGCTCAAATTGGAAGACGGGGAAGGCAGTTGTGTTCACCCGGCTCGACAAGCAGATGCTGCAAGCGCTCTCACCAAGGGGATGGCCGTAGAGAAATGTGTGCTTTTCTGTACGCGGAAACTACATGACTTGTAGTTTGGAAACCCTGAATGCGAGTGTGACGGCAGAGCGGGTTTAGAATTATTTGGAAATTGGAAAAGTTTTTAAAAACGGAATAATACCCTTCCCTAGAGTATAAACTTGGAAGAAGACGTAATTGTCTACCGAATGAAAAGAAGAATGAAAATTTTTATGCATGTTTTCAATGGAATATAACAGGACTTTTAAGGGCATCTAAAACCAATGAGAAAAAGGCATGCTACTTGAGTAGTCATTTTTACAAAGCATAATTTTTGTATGCAGCCCGAAGGAAGTTCGTTCGAAAGCCGGCATCCTAATGTAAGTGATTTATTATAGAATTATGCTGCAGGTTGATTACTTTGACAACCCTACTTAATTAATCTTTTCGAAACGAAAACGCATTTCGGAGTTTCAGTTGACATTTCATGAGTTGAGAAAGAGAGAGAGAGGAATGCGCTTTATTTTGAAATCGTAAGTTCAAAATTTTCAGCAAAAAATTGGCTCCATTCACTGTGGGTAGTAAATAAGTTAAGAGATTATTCAACAGTCAAAGAAACGATTATTATGGGGATAGTTCAAGTCTGAGCTTCTGTATTTCTGTCTCTTCGCACGTAAGATAGCGCGCTAGGAATGGCAATACAGAGGCTCGATAAGCCGATGTGCGACAGGGTATAAGACGGAAGTTGCGGCGCATCGGGCGGGAAGACTTGGCAGACACCAGATCGGAATGTAGGGGATGGGCAACGCCATCTAGAATTCGACCAGCAAATTGCTTGACCGCATTGAAGTTGGCCCACCTACTGTAGGGTTCGGCGCGTGTATGGCACGCGAAGACGGGGTGTGCTTTGCCTGCCTTTGTGAACACACCCTTTTAATATATGCTAGCGAACTTTGGGTTTATTAGTTTCTCGTGGACTTTTGCCAAAATTTACAAACGGGCAGTTTAGTCTTTGTAAGCGGAAAAGAAGGGTGATCGGGCATCGGAACATTCTGTTTATTTTTCTGAGCATTCGAACTCGTGCAGGAACCCAGCTTCAGAGATAGTGGTGGCGACAGAACAAGCGACAGTTAAAGGGCGTGTTAGCCAATCATCGACCGATGGAGATGACTGCGCAGGGCTCTGTACGCCGGCGCCAGATCAATAAATCGATTAATTGAGTCCCCATCCGAGACCGGGGCTTCGATCAATTCCCAGCCTTCGTTCGTGGGGTTAGAATGGGGGAGCACAGAAGTGGTTACGGGATGGAAAGCGCTGCAGAGTGCGCTGACACAATCCGCCGCATCTTAACATCTGGACGGTCGGGTGCTTGACCCTCCTCCCGAAAAACCTCTGTCCGTTCTCTGTGGGCGTTCGAAGTTGACTGAACTTTGGGCTTTCATTTGTACAGGACAAGAAGTGGTGGAAACGCAATGCCGACAAGGACGAATCAGCCATTCCCCCCGTACACTTCGATTTCTCCGACATCAAGCACACCACTCTGTCAGAGCGCGGCGCCCTGCGTGAAGCCGCCCGCTGTCTACGCTGTGCCGATGCTCCCTGTCAACACAGCTGTCCCACCCAACTCGACGTGAAAGCCTTCATCCACAACATTAGCAAGCGCAATTACTACGGTGCGGCGAGTGTTATCCTATCGGACAACCCGGTGGGTCTGACTTGTGGCATGGTCTGTCCAACCAGTGACCTCTGTGCCGGTGGGTGCAATTTGGCCGCCACGGAGGAGGGCGCCATCAACATTGGCGGCTTGCAGCAGTTTGCGGTTGAGGCCTTTGCCCGAATGAGCATTCCTCAGGTGAGTGCCTGCTTTGGTGTATTCGTCGGTTATGATTCTTGCCAGATATGGCGTCGGGTATCCATCTGGTGGAACAAACGTACTTGCTCCTTTTCCCATCCGACTACTTCTCCCGCTCCTCCTCTTCTTCTTCTTCCTCCTCCTCCTCCTCCTCACCACCACCACCACCACCACCA